GGCTAAATTGACTTCCTTAATCAAAGAAGAGAACATATCCAACTTGGCATTTACTTGGAAACCACTTTTGGATTTATGCTTGAGATGGGGGAGAAAAACTTTGACTTTGGGTTTTTCTGATTAGATAGATTTGTTGTTACAGAAGTGGCTAGTATATATTAGCATGTAAAAATAAAAAGTTGAGGCTATTATTATCCTATTTTACTGCATTAAAAAGAGTTGGAAGTCAATGCTTTTCTTTCTTTTTTCCCCTTTCCCCTATACTTTTTCTCTTCTCTTTTTTCTTTTTTTCCCTTTTCTACTCTGTCCAACTATTTTCTTTTTGTGTGTGTGTATTTTATATCCTGATCAACTTAATAAAAATGAAAAAAAAAACATTTTCAAAAGAAATCACAGGCATATCTCTTGTGCTTTTCTCCCAAGATATGTACTTTGGTACACATTTGTTCTAATGTATACTTTTTCAGGGATTTTCTCCATATGCAATCAACTTTAACCTACAATTTTCAAAAATCAATACAAGTATACTTTTAAATTCAATTAAATCTATTTAATGTACACATTTCTCTAAGTTGCAAACTGCCTTGCCAAATTAGATCAGGAGAGAAACAATTTTCTGCATATCTATGTGCTCAAATTCATATAGCAGTTGGGAAACTGTAAACGGGATATTAATTTCTCATTAATTTCTTTCCCATGCTTTCTCCAGGTGGGGACACAAAACAATAAAAATCAGATGCAAATACAGTACAGTATTTTGGAGATAAATTATAAGGGGACAAAATTTTTGGGTCACTGTGTCCAGCACGAAGAACCAAGACCACACATTAAATTCCAGTTAAGATGATTTATTGCTGATACCTATACCTATAAAAATCTAGCTGCCTAATGATCAGAACTAAATTGGTTCTAGATAAGAGTCAATAGAGTTCAAGAGCAATTGGACTTACACTGTTTGTGGGAATGTAATGACTCTAGGCTGATGACTTTCTTGACTCCACCCCAGGCTTTTCCTGCTCTTTCCTACAGCCTGGCAGCTATTAACATCAACCAGTTCCTACGTTTTTCCAACAGGACTTAAAGGTTGATGATAAAGATGCAGTCCTCAATTAACTCCAGCATCAGTGGTGGAAGAATAAAACCAGGATTTGGGAATGTTGCTTTCAAGCCTGCTTTTGAGTTCTTTACTTATGCATTGTGGTAAGCCGGATACCATGCTAGATGGAGTTTTGGTTTGTTCCAGCCAGTTCCTTCTTCAGTTTGTATTTGGCTTCTCCAAAGATCTTTGTCCCTGGGAGAAAGATGCAGAGGCCAAAAGGTTGCCCATCAGATCTGGCATTATTTTCTGCATCAAATGCCATCGGATCAAAAAGAAAATGGTGTAGGTGTATGAAATGTAAGGTTCAGTGCTCCTGAGAAACCAAAACATTTTTATTCTTCTACATCAAACTCTTTCTCTTGCCCAGGGCATTAGAGTGAAGTGATCGTCATTTACCCAGCCCTTTTCTAATTCAGCCTGCTAGCTTCTAGACTGCCTCTCAAGCTTCTGAAATCGGAATATATTCTCAGATTTCAAATCTATCTCATTTCCACTGGAAAGAAATCTAAAATCTCTTATTAATTCTCAAAAAGCTAATTTTGATTCACTTAACAAATGGTCAAAGGAAAACATTTGTCAGTTTTTGCACATTGCCATTCCCATTGACCTCTGGGATGACATCTTACTCAGCTTTACCTGGAGTAAGCAACAATGACTGGAATTTATTTTCCAAAGACATTTACTTAAAATGGAAACAAAAGTGACAGGCGAGAAAGGGGGCACTTTTCAATCTGCACATTTCTGAGAGGTCAATGCCTTTCTGTTAATTTGTTTTGATGCCCAAGATTGAGAGTGGAATTTCATACTTCAAAATGGTGCTGCTTGCTGTTTTTAAAAATTGAGTGTTTTTGGTACCCGGGGAAGAAAATCCCTAATGCCCAGGAAAAGTGATGCAGGGGTGCCTGGGAGGCTAACAATTTTCAAGTGCCACGGTTTTCTAGGGATAAAGGTAAAACACAAAACAAACTGAGATGCAGTGGTGGGCTCCTCCAGGTTTGGCCCGGTTTGGCCGAGTCGGTAGCAGTGATGATATGACGTCATCGAACCAGTTCTCTTTGTTCGGGAGCTGGGCCCTCCCGCCTCCCCCCCTGCGCTATTCTTACCTTTTATTTGGCCCCGCCCCCAATCTATTCTCTGCCTCTGAGTCCCAGGTGATTAGCTAGAAGGAAAAAAACTGTTTAAACTCTTGCCACGAAGCTTTAAAGGGCCGCCCTACAGCTGATCAGTGTTAAAAGGCAGTGTGGTGGTAGATCAGTGCGCTCGAAAAACAAATGGGTAGACCGGTGCCTCCAAAAACAAATGGGTAGACCAGTGCCTCCAAAAACAAATGAGTAGACCGGTGCCTCCAAAAACAAATTGGTAGACTGGAACACTCCAAGAACAAATGGGTAGACCGGTACAGCTCTGCAAGCAGTTAAAAGCCTGGTAGACCAGTACGTCTGCTAAATCCTAAAGAATTGTCACAGGACCATCAAACCACGCCAATAAAATAAGCCACGCCCACAGAACCAGTAGTAAAAAAATTTAGGACCCACCCCTGCTGAGATGATATTGTCTTTGATTTGTGAGCAAAGGCAGGTAAAATGAAGGAATATGTCAGACATATGCAAAATTACACACTCAATAAAAAATAGGGTAAAGAGAAGAGTATCATGAGTTTTGGAGGCTCATACATTGAAAGGGAATGTGAAAAAATCAAAGGATAAAAGTAATGCATCCCCCATGTCTCAGATGTCTTCAATGGTAGGAAGATGGTGAGGAACTCTACCTGGTGCCAATCATGTTGTGTTAACCTATCTATATTCCTTTTTAGTAGATATGGCTTGAAGAAGTCCGATACTGCTTCTCAGTCTCCTTTAACATTTTCCTTGGTAGACACAAGGCTATGACTTGTAGAAATTTGTCTCTGGGGTTCATTGCTGTTCATATTTCGATACTTTTGTTGTTCCAAATTTCAAAGAGTTTTAAATCATTTTGCTCCTGCTGTTTTTACAATTATTATTTTGTTGTAGAAAAATTACGTCTTATTCTTGACCATGTGAGGTATGGTAACTTCCAACAAAATACAGTAATTTAGCACAAAGACTTGGGTGAACTTCACATTTCACCCATCTCACATCTACAGAACTGACCGCCTGTTAATGTCCCAGCTAAGTTTCATATGTTAAGTGTTCAGAGCCAGGAGTTTGGACTGCCCCCACCCTCACAAATCTATCTGAAGATCAGCATAAATTACAGAATCCATAATCACAACTTTCTTAGAAATGCTCTCAGTTTGTGGAACTCCTGCACTCCAGTTATTTACATGAAGCAGCTATTATACGACAGATTTAAACTGTGTGGCTCATACTTTGCAATTGGAAATATTTTACAGGCCAATTGAGAAGCAAAAGTATTAAAACATATATGTCAACTGTAACAGCTAGATCTGTAGCCTTGAACAATAGTCTCACCCTATAAAAGCTACAGCTATTTTGAGTCTACAAAAATCCAGATGGCCGCTAACTGGCAGCAAAGAGAGGAGGAGGAGGAGGAGGAGGAGGAGGAGGAAGAGGAGGAGGGTGATATGATGATGATAATGAGGAGGAGGAGGAGGGTGATATGATGATGATGAGGAGGAGGAGGAGGAGGAGGATTAGGATTTAAATTTGTATATCACCCAACTCCCAACAAATCTGGGTGGTTCACAAGTAAACACAATTCAAAAGAGTAAAACAATGTGATAGTAAGAACAAAGAATAAAAGCAAGCAAACCAGAAAAGGAGCAAAAGCAAACTCGCACTGCTCAAAAGGGCCTTCACCCTCCCCAAAGAAATGCCATAGAGCAGTCTGGAATTCTTGCAGTCCAGATTTGATAGCCCAGATAAACGGCTGCAACTCCTACCTGTCAATATTGGGGAAGGTAATAATGCCAAAGATAAGGCACGTCTTTGATTTTATAGGGCGTGTTCTGTGTTGGTGGGGGGAAGAGGTTTGCAGATGCACGGATCAACAATTTCCTTTCAAATTGTGGTTATTTAATAATTTGTCAATCTTGACTCTGGCACACCATTAATTACCCATTCTTTTAGCCTCTGTAACAGACCAGCTCTCTGCTTTTTACAAGCTTAGCATTGCAATGCTGAATTAAGGCCGACCTGTGGAGTAGTCAAGGGCAGGAGAATAATCCATTTCACATCTGCTTGCTTTGGGGCATTTTTCTATGTGTTATGCATTAACTTTACAAGTGAAGGGTGGCAGCAGTTTGGCAGCGAACATTTTAAGTTGCACGAGTTGTTTTTGAAAAGCTCTAAGAGCCCTGCTCTGGATAGAGTCCAAAATTTATCAACATTCTCTTGCAAAGCAAAACCTGAGAGCGCTTCTCCCAGAAAAGGCTGCCATTTTCAATGCTGTTCCAAAAATTGCCTCCCATTTTTAATTAAAAACAGCTAAATCATTAAGAGTTCCCTGTTTCTCTCCACCCACCCACCCCCAATATTTTGCATTGAAATTATATTTTTCTCTTTTGCTTTTTGCGGATTGAAAGCAGAAACCAGAGTCCCCAAGGATCAGGCAGCATTAAGTTATTGGGACTTTGATTAGATTAACTGTCACTGAGGAGAAGCATAACTCAGTCTGATGATTTTAAATATTAGACCACACTTTTATATTCCCCTTCACATTTATAGGCCACTGTAACCACCACCCACATCCCAAATGCCCTTCCCCACCGGTTAGCTTTGCCTGTAGCTGAGTAACTTAGAGAGCTTAACTCATTCTCATAATCAAATTATGTACATCAACTTTTCCTTTTCTTGTGTATTTGTCTTTCAAACTAATTTACATCTCTGAAGAAATCCTTAACTTCTTTTGTGATTTGTTATATAATATGGTTTTAATAAAAAAAAAAAGTCAAACCACGAAAATTTTAAGTCATTTATAGAATGTACAAAATTTACAACAACATTAAGAAGCTGGGATTGCTATTTACACAGGAAACATTCACAAGAATACCAACCAACCAACAAACAGAAAGAAACCAAAGCAAAACCAAAGACAAAGATAGCAGAATAACCAAGAAATTTGGCACACATTTGGCTTCAGGTTATCATGCCCTTATGGTATTCTCCCCTTGATAATTAAATGGAATGGAAAAGGGAGAAATATTTTTTTCCCCATCCTAAACATCTAAATTTAAAATGGAACACAAATGATCGACTTACAAATTACGACATCATCACGCTTGAACTGTAAAAAAAAAATCCAAATTAAGATTAAGAAGTACAGTACCATATGTTGGAATTCAAATGAGTAACAACCTGGGCAACATTTGCTACATTCATAGAGCTGCAGATTTTACAGATAGGATAATTCTATCGTGTTCACTTCTAAACAAGAAGCGCCCATCCAAACCGATGTCTTGAGTCACCCAAATATGTTAATAGATGACTATTATCATGCAAGAAATACCCACCACCTTTCAGAGCATTCACAAGATATACAATACAAAGGACTGCATCCAATGGGGTCCCAAACAGGACAGACACTTCCTCCATGGGTGTGCATCCATCAAATCTGTTCCAGAGGTTGGGACACACCCTCTCCTCGGAGCAGGCTTGGAGGTATGTGCAAGGGGGAAGATGAGTGAAGTTTAATTCCACTGCACAAATGGAAGCCTGATTGTACTACACTAAACACAGTTAGTTGTTTTATGACGAACAGTTACCGCAAAGAATTCTATTTAGGACAGATCTTCACATATGTACTACTTAAGTCAGTAATCTTGACCACACGGCGTCATCTTTCTGTACAACTTGTAGCAGAGGTAATCACAACTTATTCCCCCCCTCTCCCCACCCCACCCCCACTACAATGCCAGCCATCTCTCCAAAAATGGATGTTGCAGTCACGGAAACGTTTCACACAATCCCAAAGGTGCTTTTTCAAAAGGCAACTGGATTTTCTCTGTTTTTCCTTGAAGACGTCTATGGAAATCCTCAGTCATCCAGGTCATGGTTGTCCCAAAGGTGCTTTTTCAAAAGGAAACTGGACTTTCTTTGCTTTTGCTTGAAGATGTTTCACTTCTCCTCCAAGAAGCTTCTTCAGTTCTGAGGAAGTTTCTTGGATGAAACGTCCTTCAAGCAAAACGTCTTCAAGCAAAAAGCGAAACATCTTCAAGGAAAAAATAAAGACCAGTTGCCTTTTGAAAAAGCACCTTTGGAACAGCCATGACCTAGATGACTGACTGAGCATTTCCATAGACCTCTCACACAATCTGAAACCACTACATGAGAAGTCACAGCAGTATGGTGGGAACGGTATGCAGATGCTGTTTATAACTTCCTTCAACAAACTTCTTTCTTCAGTAAATGAGAAGGGAGAACTACAGTATCTAAATTTCGGAATTAGCATCATTTTAAACACAGATATTGAACATATTTTTCACTTTTGGCACGTAGAGTACTGGTCATATACTTATAATTGCTTTGGTAAATTGAGGGGCAGGCTTGGAAACAGGTCTAATGCAACAACTTTCAGTAGATGAACATGACTTCTTTTCAGCCAGACTTCTATAATATCCTACAATGTTACATGGACTGTTCCAACTTTGCTTCCCTTTGCAACCTGAGATTATTCTACAATTAGTCTGTATGTCAGATCTCAAGAAAGAATTCTAATAGGTTTAATGTGATGAGAGTAGAGTCATTCGATATTTAATACGTTTTAGGATTCCTTGTCAACGTTGTTAAAAGTAATGCGCCTTTCCAAGAGGCCATCAATAAGCTTGAGCCTACAAAACTATGAGTGCAAAGAAACATGCAGAAGCCAAATCCCTTGGAAAAGAATGCAGGGGAAGAAATGAGTTCAAAGGGGACAGAGCATTTAATTTCAATGACTCCTTAACCTTACAATAGATTTGGGTCTTCAAAAGGTGTTCCCCATTTTATGGAATTAAATTATTTGCTGCATAAATAAATAAATTTAAAAAACCAGTAACAGATGAGGGATCTATCTCCATCTCCTATTTTTGAGGCATTTGTAGCAACATTGAGAAACTAAGAGCTGGTCTAAGATGGTCGTGATCCCATCAAACAGGGCTATTCTTGGGTTCTCAAACTGGTTTGAAAAATCATTCTCCTCCCATTTGGCAATCCTTTTATTTTATCAGACCTTACATGAAAAACACAGACATCTTTGAGACATCTTTTTCAGTGGTGGGTTGTCCCCGGTTCGGACCAGTTCACAAGAACCGGTAGTAAAACCAGTGGGGGGATCCCGCCCACTGCCCCGGATGTCATAATCGGCGACCTGCGTATGCGCGATCCCGTTGCGAACTGGTAGTAAAGGTAAGTAGAACGCACCCCTGATCTCTTTGCTTTTAGTTGGGGAGGCAGGTCAGATATTTAACAGAACCATATTACATAACGGGGCTGTGCAAGATTTTAAAATGAAGGGCTTTGGACTTTGTGCTAGCATGGCACTTCGCAGCTCTTCATTAAAGGAATCAGACTTTCTTCAAGCTTCTGCACAAAGCTGAAAATAGATGCAGTTGCTTAAAGATTAGCAGCACTGCTCATACGTGTAGTCCTTGACTTATGACTGGTTACTTAATGACCATTCAAACTTATGACAGATTCCTTCCAAAGATAGATACTTACGACCCAGTTCCAAAGATGGCTGCCCCTCCCCACCAGTCAAGTGACTGCATTTCGGGTGCTCAGCAACCAGCCTGCTTTGAAAGTTGTTTCCAGCATTTCCCAGTCACATAACCACAATTTTTTTGCTGAAAACCAGGCTTTACTTCCAGTTTGCTTCCGGTTTTCGGCAAAAATGCCCCATAGCGAATAATGGGTTTGCTTAACAAGTGCAAATTTGCTTAATGACCATTGGGTGATTTGCTTAATTTCCACCATAAAAACCAGTCATAAAAATTGGGTTGGTTATGTGGGGGGCGTGTCCGCTTTACAACCATCACAACTTACAGTCATGAGCAGGCTCCATTACAGGTTGAGGACTATCTGTAGTAACTTAAGACCACAATTCTATACGACATGGTAGCAATTCTAATTCTATTATATCACGGGTATCAAACTTGCCGCATCACATTGCCATCACGTGACGTTTCGCAACGTTTTTCCCATTCACGGAGCTGAGGTGGCCGTGATGCATCCAGCCTGCGGGCCGCCAGTTTGACACCCCTGTATTATACAAATACAAGTATTGCAACCTGCTATGTAAAATAAAATGGAGTGTGGAATTTGAAATAGTTCTTCAATGCAAGCCATTCATCCACCATACATCGGTATACCAAGGTTGTTAAACTCCCGGCCAGTAGGCCAGATGCATAATGTGCTGGCCATGCCCATGCCTGGTTTAACGAAAGGGGGGGGGGAAGTCCCAGTAGATCACGTGACGCCGCCATGACGACGTGAGTTTGACACCCCTGCTCTATACTGAAAGCTCTGATCAAGTTGAAATCCTTATTACAGTTGTTGCAGGAAACTCTTATTGAAATGTGCCTATTTTTATTATAGCCCAGAGATTCCCAACAAGGTTCTGATGCACACATAGAGTTTCACAAAGCAAACGAAGATGGCATGCATGCAGAGCAAATAATTAAAGGCAAGCTTCGATAAGCACATCAGACACAGGGCTGCACCATGCATAGCACTTTTCTTGGCATGTTTGTTCAACAGTAAATGGTATTACTATTATTATGGTAAATACTATGGATTCCCATAGTATTTACTTCCAAGTACATATGGATAATTTGGCAATCTCACAGAATGAGTGCAATGGGCTTTACTCTCAGCAACTGGGCACAGAATTACAGTCTTATTATTAATTAATTGGTTAGGGTAAATAAAAATTTAAAACTTTTTAATCATCAGCATGACTAGTTGAATAGACTATTTGAAACCTGCTTAGGCATTTTAAAAATAAAAATTATTACCAGATTAAAAAACATTTTAGAGAAATCATTTGTCATCTTCGTACATCCAGGGGAATAACCACATGGCTGCTTAGCACTCATGACCATGATTTTTTCTAAAATGAGTATTGATCTCCTATAGTCGATTAAAAGATATGGATTAAATCTAGTCTTGGCATAGGTCCGATTAATATCATGGAGACTTTAGCTGTGATTTCACTATGTCTAGCGATATACTAACCATCATCTCCTTTTAATGACCCCCATAATCCCTTGTGGGGTGGAGTCTGGGCAACTGAATGGAGCTGAGTGTTTATTGGCTGGATGCCTTTCCTGTCGCCAATGCAGAGTTTTGTTCAACAGATATATTCTCATTGTGCCCAGAGAGAGATCTACTTCTACCTAGGATCGAACTCACAGCCTCCTGATTGTGAGCGAGAGCTCCACCTCTAGGCCACTGCACCACTCATCTAGCGATATACTAATATAGACTACTAAATCGAGATCAAATCCAATACAATGATCAAGCTAAGATTGATTTGATACTGTAAAACAATTATCTAGAATCCTTTCTTGCATAGAGGAATAGTGTTATTTTGAAACCCTGGTTTTCAATTGATATTATTCAAAGTATGCAATTTCTAGAAATATTCCTTTCACTAGACTAAAGAATGGTTTTAAAAAAAAAATACACCCATTTTTAATGGCTATACAAAAGTTTTCGTTCAGAACATTCAACTTATAACAAAAGTCCCTCCTTTTTTTAAAGACACAGATCAGAAAGTATGGCTTTTGAGTCAGCCAAGGCTAAAAGGAATTTAAAGGATTGTTTTAAAATGTCACTTAAAAAAAGAAAGCATTGAAAAACATATATTAAATTAAGGTCATATTTGTGTGCATAAATATTTTCATCCCACTGGATTTCCTTGATGTTTAGTTGGTAATTGATCCAAAAAGGTCTACGTAGCAAAGAGAGACAGGAGACCTAACATTATTACGGATGTATCTTGCCAATGTCTCTGTGTATGATTTATAGGCGTTGTTGTTGAAAATACAGCATCGCTTGAATTCCTAGGTAATGTCAAGTTGCAGATGTTTCCTTCACAACAAGAAGTGCATACCTGGAAAAAAGAAAAGACACTTCAATCATTTTTCTGACAACTGATAGAAATTTCACTATCAGAGGCAAGATACACATTATATCCTAGAGTTTGCTGCTATTGCTGTTTAAAACTGCTCAGGTATAGAAAAATGCCCCCTTTTATATATATCTAAACCAGGGGTGAAATGCTCCCGGTTCAGACCGGATCGCCCAATCCGGTAGCGATGGCGGCAGGTGGTTCAGAGAACCGGTAGCAAAAATCCCTGCCCCCCCCCCATGCCCAGCTGAGCCGCACGATCATCAGAGGCTTTTTTTTCGTCGGAAGAGGTTATAGAAAAAAATCTTTTTAAAAGTAAAAAAAAAAAGCCTCTGATGATCGCACGGCTCAGCTGGGATTGTCAGAGGCTTTTCAAAACATTTTCTGCAACCTCTTGGCCGAAGAGGTGGTTAAAAAAATGCTTTGAAAAGTCTCTGACGATCCCAGCTGAGTTGCCTGATCTGCAGAGAGGCTTTTCAAAGCATTTTTTAAAAAGCCTCTCTGACGATCCCAGCTGAGTTGCCTGATTGGCAGAGGCTTTTCAAAGCATTAGAAAAAATGCTTTGAAAAGTTTAAAAAAAATTTTTTTAAACAAAAAACCACCCAGTCACATCCCCCCCCCAAGCCTTGCCCACAGAACCGGTAGTAACAAATTTTACATTTCAACCCTGATCTAAACCACATAGCTCCAAAAGAATAGTTGCTATAAAGATGAAGGACATTCAAAAGGATGATTGATGATTTTTTTAAAAAAAAAATATCAAGGCCCATCTTCACATTATAGCTGTAATTAAAATTTGCTTAACCAACCAGAAACCGTTTTAATTGGGGGGGGGGACAGCTTGGCTATACATGTTTGATTAGAAGGTGCAGTTAACTTTTAACTGATATATCTTTGGTGAACTATCCTTTACAATTGGCTAACAAGCGGAGATGGGCAAAATTACCCTCCTATTTCATATCATCAAATCATGAATTACTGATTTTATATATTTTAAAACTTGATGGGCGAAAAAAAGTAATACATTTATGATATGATACCAGCGAAGCTACTTTAAATTCTGATAGAATGTCTTCCCCCAAAGCATTAAGCATACCATAAAATCCCCTTCATCTATTAATCGTCATTTATATTCCTGGAGGAAGAAGGGACATTTTACCCTATTATTATCAACTTCTAAATCACAGGAAGGAAAGGGGAAAAAAAGACTTTAACTGTGGAAGCATCCATACAAAATAAAAGACTGTTACATTCTGATTTAATATAAATGTTCTTCTATCAATTTTCTAGCATTGGCTGGAAAGCCTTATTACCGCTGCAGTGGGCCCCAATTGTGAAATTCAGAAATATGCATCTCCATTTTAGAAAGGGGGACAAGTGCTCCTTAAAATGAACTTTAGAGAAACTGACAATCTTTCAAGAACTCCAGGAAAGTTGCTCTAATAGCCATGTTGAGTGGGTGGAATATTTTATGTGGAGCATTCTACCCACATGAATTAGTTCAGGTCATCATCTTAAAAACAGTAACTTATTGCCATGGTGGTGCAGTGGTTAGAATGCAGTACTGCAGGGCTAACTCACTGCTCACTCCAGGAGTTCGATCCTGACTGGCTCAAAGTTGACTCAGCCTTCCATCCTTCCAAGGTGGGTAAAATGAGGACCCAGATTCTTGGGGGCAATATGCTGATTCTGTAAACCGCTTAGGGAGGGCTGTAAAACACTGTGAAGTGGTATATAAGTCTAAGTGCTATTGCTCTACTGTATGCCCAGGCCATTTTTAGTAACATCCCCTGGGTAACATATATTGGCTGCATCCGTTTTTGAGTTGAAAACTTCCATTTTCTCACCTCTCCAACTGATGCCTCTTGGTAATCATCAGCATTAACCCAAGGTTCCTAGTAAACCTATCTTCTCCACTACAAGTCATCAGCATTGGTCATGTTCTTAACTCCAACGATTTCTTTCATTTAAATCTTTCTCATTTTGAGAATTACAGTCACAATTACAATGCCAAAGCAACCAACTTCCAAGTTATGTCCATGAAACTGTTTCTCACAATGTATGAAAAAGAGACAACACACCAATTTATTTCTTCTCCTTACCTTGAGTCCTTTATGCTGGAGAGCAATGCATCCCGTAGTCAAACAATCCTCCAGTGGCACGCATCTCTTGGTGACTGATACACTCTTTCCGTTGGCTTCCAGGGTATGTTGAGAATAACAGTATCTTGTTGCTAGCAAGAGAAATAGGAGGTTTTATTTCTAGTGTTAATTTAGTTGTGTACAGCAGTACCAGGGGTACAAACTAGATGGGAAAACAATGTCCTGAAAGGTGATAGCAAATCATGCTGTTATCAAGAAAACTGCACCAGAAATTAAACTTAAGTACCAGCATCTAGCTGGATGAACTTTAAAAGTTACTAAACAGGATCTGATCAATTTAGCTGGGAAGCCACTAAGAAACCTCAAGGCTGTAGGCTAGAAGAGAGAAAGTCAAAACCACCCCTGCTCCCAAGGAAATTACACAGATGTGTCCATGACGGAATCAAGTTTTATTTCTACAGCAAGTTGGGAGGGAGGGAGGGACGGAGGGACAGAGGGAGAGAGAGAGAGAGAAAGAAAGAGAGAGAGAAAGAGCATATTACAAACATTTCATATGTATAAGTTTGTTTATAAGAGTAGAAGACATTTTCCATCCCTCTTTTAAAAACAATTTCAATTAACTTCATTCTGTACTGTATGTAGAAAAGTTTTGCATTTCCACCAAGATGTTCTAGCATTAGATGCAAGAAACATTTTTTTATGTTATAAAGTTTTACATTGGCTTCCTTCAAAAAAGCTGCTGCAATTCTTTAAAAACTCCTAATACATTTCCATGGCTATGCAGAGTATAGCAACATATCAAAAGTCCGGAGAGTCTTTTTTTCATGAAGTGATTATAGCATCTCATCTGCCTAGACAACAATGTCTACAAGCATAAGGACATCTATATCAGCAGGGTCAGATGTGTCACACAACTTTCCAAGGTGGTAGATGAAAAGCTACCTGACTGATGCTAAGAGTTTACATGGGACATTTAAAGCATCATCAGAAGAGATCTATATTCACTGCTTTCCTGGCAACATAAAGCTGATTTACCTCTTGGACAGTACACATCTGGAGCCCACTGGTTGCATTCGTAGTTATCTACTGCTTGTTCACAGGTAAAACATTTGAATCCACCAGGATATGGAGTTGCTGAAAAATGCAGATGTGATCATGACATCAGTTACAAGGTTAACTGGAACATTTTTCAAACAAAATATATTAAAGGACATAATATATTACAGAAATAAAGCTCACTGCATAGACTTTTCACATATTTAAAAACAAGTTCAGCCTCATTGGCAGGAGAACCTGAAATGTTGGTTCAGCACTTGGGGTTTTTTTAACCAAAAGACTTCGTATGTATGTGTGTGCGTGTGTATATACATATCTATAGTTATATCATCTTAACAAGACTCTGGTTGAGATAGCTAAAACATTTAACATTTAAATCAAGATTCCGAAGAAGTCAACTAAGTAGATTTGGATACCACATCTTTCACCATTTTTTGAAAAAGATAATAGAAAGAAACAGGACAGGTTGGGAAAAATGTATTTATTAACATAGTTTGCTTTCTCTATAGAATCTCAGGACAGCTTACACAATGATCTTGTTTTATCCCAAGATGTCTTATGAGGCAAGTTGGACTAAAAGAGAGTGACGTCATATGTGAGTTTTCACAGTTTAGAGATCTATCCAACTGTAATCCAACATATTAACTACTATATCACACTGGCTCCAAAATGTTAGTCTAATGGTCAGTCAATCATAGCTTAAACTACTTCACAGCAAATCCATGACTTGTTTTCCACTCTCACCTGGAAATTTTTAAAATACAGGTAGTCTTCAACTACAGCAGTTCATTTAGTGACCATTCAGAGTTACGCCGACACTGAAAAAAGTGACTTATGACCAGCAGTCCCATGATCATGTGATCAAAATTCAGATGCTTGGCAACTGGTTCACACTTATGACTGTTGTTGTGTCCCAAGGTCATGAGATCACCTTTTGCAATCTTTTGATGTGCAAAATCAATGGGGAAGCCAGATTCACTTAACAACTGGGTTATTAACTTATCAACTGCAGTGATTCGCTTAACAACTGTGGTAAGAAAGGTCGTAAAATGGGGCAAAACTCACTTAACAAATATCTCACTTAACAACAGGCATTTTGGGCTCAATTGCCATCGTAAATCGAGGACTACATGCATTAATGAGTACAGCTAGTCAACTGGCACGGAAGTTCCACTAGAAACAAATAACGTCCTGCTATTAAGGGACATGGTGGCTCAGTGGCTAAGATGCTGAGCTTGTCGATCGAAAGGTTGGCAGTTCAGCAGTTCGAATCCCTAGTGCCGTGTAACGGGGTGAACTCCCATTACTTATCCCAGCTTCTGCCAACCTAGCAGTTCGAAAGCACATAAAAAATGCAAGTAGAAAAATAGGGACCACTTTGGTGGGAGGGTAACAGCGTTCCATGCACTTTCGGTGTTTAGTCATGCCGGCCACATGACCACGGAGACATCTTCGGACAGCGCTGGAAACGGAGATGAAACGGAGATGAGCACTGCCTCCTAGAGTTGGGAATGACTACACATATGTGCGAGGGGAACCTTTACTTTACCTTATTAAGAGGTTTATCTTAACATTCATCCAACACTTATACTCCTGTATCTTATGCACCCTGTGAAAATCTATTCAGATTCTTCCAAATATGAGTCCTAGTATCTCTGAGGGCGTCTCTAGTCTTTTCCTGGCTATGCATCCCCAGTTTTTGTCAACACTTCTATTCAAGTTTTATTTTCTAACCTATTGATTGCCTCTGCTTTAAAAAAAAAACTTGATCCCATCTGCTTACATAGACTTCTTGTTATCAGGTAGCTAGGACTGGCACCCCCAACCCACCCACTCACCCCCAAATAAGCCCTTGGCTACAAACCAATCATAGTAATCTATGCAACAAAACTGTACTGCCACTGCAGGGCAAGACAATGTGGTACCCTTTTTATTCTGTCTTTTTCAAGCTATTTTAACCAAAAGCAAAGAAAAACCAAATAAAAAACTTTGCTGAGAAGCAAAGCACCGGCCTCTAACTTCTAACTTTTTATTGATAACAATGCCTCTATGACCCATATAACTTGTGTAAGCATTCTTAGAAATTTTCTTTTTAAAAAATGATGGGTGGCTACAGGCCAGTTATTTAATAGCATCTCCACTTGTCTTGATGGTAGGATGGAGGGAAGGTTAACATAAAGTGTGAGTGGTAATGAGTATGCTGGGAGTTGAGAGAGAGTGAAGAGGAGATAATAGATAATCTCAATCTATTTACCTTCTGCTAAATGGCTGCTTCGTGAAAAGCTGTGATGGCTATCAGGGTCATTTAGAGAGAACACCTACGCAATACTTTGAAAATTCCAAATGGACCAATTGCTCAATCAGAGTCAGTGGGTTGAGAGAGAAAATGAACTCTCTCAATTCTTTTGAGGTCCTGATAGTGTTAATGTACAGGATCAAGGAAGAGATACTGCTATCTCTGCAACAGGTGACATTTCTAACTCAGAGCATACTTTTACTATAGATATTGTCAGGTGCAATGAATCAGGACCATTTCTAAGGTTGCTGCGTAGAAGATTTATTCAAGCTTATACATAAGAATCTAGCCATCTCATGAACAGCACTAAATTGGTGCTAGATAAGGGCCAATAAAATTCAAGGGAGGGTAGACTTGGCTCTCTTGTGGTAATGTAAGGACTCTAAGCTGATGATGCATTTAACTCTGCCCCCAGCTGTGCCTGCTCTTCTACAGATTTAGCTTGCATCCTATGCACATCTAGTCAAATGCAAGCAAAACTGAATGAAGCAGAAACATGGAAAGTTATACCTAACTTTAGAACATTTTTAAAAAAAAATACAACAGGAAAGAGAGAGAGATAGCACAAATATTAAGTATGCACTATGAATTTATTGTGCACTGTACCCTCAGCAACTTCAGCTCCCTAAATTCTTTCCATTCCTATTTTTAAAAGTACCAAGTGATAATTAATTACACATTAAAGTATCAGCAATTAAATCAACAACTCTTGAAGGTTAAGAGGGTTGGGGATACATCTACAAAGTCTTGTGTTAATTTTACCCATTGTGTTAATCCTACCTATAGCTCAATGGAAGCAAAGCTATACAAAAGGCCAAAATGTTTTGTTTTACATGAAGAGGAAGAATATTTGACTACCGGGATTGAAGATGCAATATGGAAAGCCTTCCATCCTTTCAAGGTCAGTAAAATGAGGACCCAGATTGTTGGGGGGGCAATATGCTGACTCTGTAAACCACATAGAGAGGCCTGTAAAGCACTATGAAGTAATACATAAGTCTAAATGCTATTGCTATTGCTATTAAGAAGGCCCTTTAGTCTTCAGAAATGATTTAATGGAGCTGCAAAGAAAGGAAGAATCTTTCCAACAGCATGTCCATTCTACTGATGGATAGTCACTGTTGGACAAAACCTTACACCATTTATGGAATGACAGGACCTACAGCCAATAAATTCCAAGTGATAAAATGCTATAGAGAATGCTATATACAGAACCATACAATGCGTCTTCTTTAACTAAAAAAGTTTGCCTAGGGATCCATTATGTGAAAATAAAACTTCGGAAAATGAATAAACAAAAGGATTCAGAATAATTCCCTGGCTCCAAATATAACTAACTTGAACGACCAGAAGCATTTAAGAAATACCAAATTGATTATAAGAAGCTGAATTATTTTATACTTTTACTATTCTTGATTATTCCACTATCTTATCATGATGGTAGTTTGACAAATGATATATCTGGTTACTCTGCGCTGCATTGAAAGATATCCTTAAATGAAATGTAAATGTAAATGAAATGTAAATACTTTTAACAAGAACCACTCTGGTGTAGTGGTTAAGGCACCAGACTAGAAACCAGGAGATAATGAGTTCTAGTCTCAACTTTAGGCAGGAAGTCAGCTGGGTGACCATGGTCCAGTGACTCTCTCTCAGTGACAATGGCAAGCTACTTCTGAAAAACCTTGCTAAGAAAATTGCAGTTGCCAGGAGTCAATTACTTGAAGGCACTCTATAAATGCAAACACTGTAGCACAAATAAACAGCTTTGGTTATGTGTCTCAGAGGCACAGAGAAACCATAATGCAGAAAATAGAACATCTCGACAGAGAACACGGCTGCTCTAGCTTTTTGTTCATTCAGAGCCTTTGAATTAAGTCCGTATCTAAGAACAGAGGTATCATAGCTACTCTTTTGTATGGAGAGAGATAGTGCCACAATTACACTTGCTTGATGTTCCATCTTGTACCTACACGTACAAAAGTGTATACCTAGAGACAAAGAGACCGTGAAAGCTCCTGAATGCTTTGTACTTTTTGTCCCGGCTAAGATAAAAACAGGGGGGGAAAAGAAAAAGAAAAAAAAGAAAGAAAGAAAGACTTATACTGAAAGAAAGTTTTTTAAGAATGGTACAGCTGTGAGAGACTCTTGTTTGGCTCGTGATTAGAGAATTTAATAAGTCTTACAGACTGTGGTTTGGGGCAAAAGGGCACACTCCTGTAAAAGAGCTATTCTAAAGGAAGAAAAAGAAACTGCCCTGTGGTCAGGAATTGCCTGTAACTATATCTGGCTATTAACTCCACTGATGAACAGCAATGCACCTTACAAGCCAATTTGTAAAGAAGACAGGAGAGAGAGAAAGAAAGAGAGAGGGAGAGAGAGAGAGAGAGAGAAGAAAGAAAGAAAGAAAGAAAGAAAGAAAGAAAGAAAGAAAGAAAGAAAGAAAGAAAGAAAGAAGAGAGGGAGAGAGAGAGAGAGGGAGAGGGAGGGAATGATGGAGAGGGAGAGAGCGCGGAGGCGGGGAGGGAGGGAGAGATTGATTGATTTGTAGATATTTTACTTGTCAATGAAAACTGGCCTTACCCTTGTTTGGCATCATGTGGGAAAATTAAGGATAACAGCAAAACCATGAGGTAAAATGAAACAAATAGAGTCATGATGACTGGAGAAGATAGAAATTATAGCCAAATAGATGCCTTTTCATACTCCCAAATAACATGCAGGATCGAATCCAACCTGGAATGAATTGTTCCTTCCCTCCTGTGCCTCTATATCAGGGGTGTCAAACTCTAGGCCCGTGGGCCGGATCCGGCCAGCTGGTGCTTAAATCCAGCCAGCGGGGCTAGCCTGGAAATATCAAAGGACCGGCCTGCGGTGCCTCTGGCGGCTGAAACAGGCCACGTGTTTCCCCCCTCCCCCGTGCCTCGTTTTCACCCTCCATGGCCTCCTGCAACACTCTGCCAGCTGAAAACGGGCCCCAAAATGGGGGCAAAAACGGGCCGTTTTCGGCCATTTCAGCCGGCAGAGTGCTGCAAGAGGCCATCGAGGGCTAAAATGAGGTGCCCCGTTTTGTGCCCTGTTTTGACTGTCAGGGTGTTGCAGGAGGCAGCTGTCCAGTCTCCCCCTTGCTGCACCCCCACACCCCCATTGGCCCACGGAGAACTACAATGCTGATTCAGCCCTCGAAGAAATCCAGTTTGACACCCCTGCTCTATATGAATTAAGTTTCCCTACCTATGATCTGCATTGCAGAAAAGCTTCAGCTGAACAGACCCCCCCCCCAAGTTTTTAGCCAACCCTTTCTTATTAACGGGGGGGAAGGGGGGAAGGATATAACTGAGCTCTATACATTATAAAGAAAAGTTTGGATCTAAGAAAGAATACCTGGTTTCTTGTTTATTCGCTTTCCTTCTCTTATGTTTTCTTCCCTACACATGATGTATTTCTATCTCCTAATAATCCCTCCTTTTAAATAAGCATTTCCTGACTCTTCTAAATTCTCCTATCCATCACTAAAGTACTGAGTCCATGCACTAAATTTAGAATTAGGTACAAGTTCCATGCAGAAAATGAACAGCACAACTTAGCGTTCATAGTCAAATATACATATCTTAGGTTTCTTATATTTATCTTTCCTACAAAGTTTCCTCTGCAATAAAAAGCCAGGTTTAAACACAACGCTAAATCATAATCTAGCAAAACATCAATGAGACTGAACTGTGTCTATTTCCCCTTTTTGTCTATTTCCCCTTTTTGTCTATGAAAAAAATACCTTTGGGATTTTTCCCTTTTTGTAGCTATTTTGGTAGGTAAGGGCAAGAGGAAAGTGCTTACCGAGATTTGCTATCTGAGTTTTATTAAAACTATTTCTTTGCCGTAAGAGCAGTAAAATATGGTTAGTTTATTAAACAGTAGTATATTTAAACAAGTTGAAACCATCGTAAATAAAATGTTGTTTAAATTAACAAGCATTTCTAGTCTGGACATACTTAAAGGCAGGACAAGAAACAATGAATGGAAACTAATCAAGGAGAGAATCAACTTAGAACTAAGGAGAAATTTCCTGACAGTTAAAACAATTAATCCATGGATTAATTGTTTTAACTTCTGATTTCAGAAGTTGTGGGTGCTCCAACACTGGAGTATTGTCAGAAGAGATTGGATAGCCGTTTTCTAAAATGGGTTTCCTGATTGGGCAGTGGCTTGTACTAGAAGACCTCCAAGGTCCCTTCCAACTCTGTTATTTTGTTATAAATTCCATTTAACTTACATCAGGAACCCTATCTAGCTATTAAGAACTGTCTTCCTGCAAAGGATTTCTTCTGGCCCATGACCACAATCAATACGACAGCTCTAAACAGCACTTGGGGAGAAGTGACGTAGCACAAAGTACACCCCCTGATTATACTCTTTTTCTGTAATATTTTAGGAAGGTACAGTGTTTACTTTCTGCATTGACTAGCCTGTATCAGAGCATTCTCCAAAATCAGGGGCCTGCTTTGCTTCATCAAAAGAGGCGTTCTCTCTTGGAGTTTTGAAACTCCAAGAGAGTTTCTCTTGAAACTTTTGAAGTTTCTTCCAAAGCTACGTGGCCACCTCACTTACCAGGTTGTTAACATCGCACTGTTTTGCAGCATTTCGGACTTTCTCAGCAGCACAGGCCAAATTTTGTCCAATGATGCTGAAGGAAATTGCTGAATTTCTACAAGCTCTTCAGCCAATGAAATCCGGCCACTCTTTCCCAGACCTCTCACAAAAGCTGTAGCATGAGGAGATGCCTCTGGATTGCTTGCAAAAATCTAGCAATTGCTGCAGAGAATGTACCATTTGCCTCATCAAGATGATTTACTAAAGTCCTCATTAGCAAGTGTGGCAGAGAATAGATTTTGGCAAGTCAAACCAGAGAACATTACCCACAACATAGCCCAAAGGAACTACTGTCCAAGAGCAATAATGGGACAGAAGCTCCTTTGGCTTTTCCAACGGACTGGCCACAGACAGAAAGAAGCTTTGATGCAAAACCCAGCACTTCATAAAAACAAACTGCAACATCTCTTTGCTTTATTTCCTATGTGCTAGCAACAGGGTGGACTTGATTTAAATCGAGTTGATTTAAATCACAATTTAAATCATGATTTAAATCACTAGTAAAAAGGCTTGATTTAAATCAACTCGATTTAAATCGTAATTTTTAAAGAGCAACTGTCATCTCTGCTACTCCTTTGACCCACTGTTGACTCACCGATAGTCCCAGTGTTGCAGAATATACAGCCTCATGCTACATAACTAAGCTCCATTTCATGCTGAATAAATTAAATTATTTATGTATCTTAAATAGAAAATTATCTTACAATAGATTTTTACCCCAAAAGTTTTTTATTAAAATAAATTCGATAAAAATCAAAAAAATCCGATTTTAATTTAAAAAATCTGATTTTTTTGATTTTTTTTAAAAAATCATTGATTTTTATCCACCCTGGCTAGCAATCTGAGGGCATTTGTGCTCTCCTATTTGTGCTATCTACTAGTTCTATTCTTTGAGCTTTCCCTAGTCCTTGTATAAGTTATGGCCTGCTTCACAAGTCTTACTTGAAGGATGAAGGTACACAATATCTTTCACCGTAAAGTCCCGTGCTCGCGTTCCCTTCAGGCAGTCAGCAATTAAGCTAAGGAAGAGGAGCCAGCCCAGCGTAGGCCAGGATTCCATAGCAGAGCGGGAGCATCAAACATGCAGATGGCTTGAAATCAAGTTCTCCTCGTCACCAGAAGGCCCAGGAATCTACGAAACACACAAGGAAAGAAAAACAGGTAAGGTAAATCAACAGGTAACCCCATACCTGCATAATTCAGGTGGTATAGTAAGAGTGAAAACCAACACTGATCCTCAGACATCGGTTCTACCAAGCTTGGACACCAAGCATGTCAAATCTCTTCTATTTCTCATCTTACGAAACTTGATTACAACAGAAAACAATTGATTTGTTCCCATTGGTTGTTTTTTCTTTCTTTCCATTTTTGTTCTTGAAAAAAAATCTTGCCTCTCCAGTTTAAAGAAAATATTGAATCGCAAGGCTACAATGGGCATTCTCTCAAGATCTTCAGCAGCTCTGCAGAAAGGCCAAAGTCAGTATCTAACTTAAATTGGCTGCACAGTGTATTTCTCCCTGCACAAATACACACACACACACACACACACACACACACACATATTATCCCTCCACAATGATTCGGCAGGACAACCTTACACAATGGAAATTCACCAGAAATAGCCAGTGGTAACAAGTTCCCAGTGCGCTCATATGTGCCTGCAATGTACAGTTTTCCCTGTTCATTATTCATGCGCATCTAATCCTCCCGTTTGAAACATTCCCCAATGCAACATGAATGGAAAGCTTAACTCAACTTCAACTGAAGTGGCACATTCTTTTTTCGCACAGCAAGATTGCAGCTTTGGCTAGTATTGCCTTCTCCATTCTTTCTGTTGTATTTCAAAATCCACACATCATAAAAGTTGTAATGAGCCCTTCAAATTGAAGCCAAATTCCGTGTCTCAAACATGTATGCTCACACCACTGGCCAATTATACCCAATCTTTTATTTAGTAGTTAGAATCCTGCAGTCCACTGTGGGCTTTTGTTTTAAAAATGCTGGCAATTTTGCTTGTCTGAGTTGTTTTTAATCCAAAGAGATTAGTGGTTGGTTGGCAATGAAAGCCAAAGAAGACGAAGATTTAGTGCTCTCATAAACTGTGCGAGTAGTCTTAGCCACAAAAAAAGGTGATTTCTTTTACTTTAAACACTCTGGTTTAGCACATCAAAGTTATATTTAGTAGAGTACCACATATACATGCATATAAGCCCACATATACATGCATATAAAATAAGACCACCGTCAAATTATAAACAAAAATAGCATGAAAAATATGCCACCCACTGATAAGCCGACTCTCAAAATGTTGTACATTTTAGGTTTCACAACTGGATTTTCTGCAGATGGCACATTTTTTTCAATGGTATTTTGGTTAAGTGTTTAATGATAGGATGGAAGTGGTTGTTTAGTACTTTCAATTTGCCCTTCGGTACAAAAAGAAAAAAAATTAAATTCTAATCAGATGGGATGTTATCACTTGTAAGCCTGACCCACAACAATATCTAGGCTGTAAAAATGATTGCTCTAAATTACGATCATGCTGATAATGGAATTCCTCCACCATTCCCATCCTTCTCTAGCCCTGTGCATTTTTATATCTAAAGAGAATGAAACAATGTGTGAGGCAGACACACAATTCTCAGAGCAAGCTATTTATTATCCCACAATTGGTGTTGCTCTAACAGAGATATTTTTCAGACATTTTTCTCTGAGGCAATTTAAAGTCTTCTTACTTTGTTAAGAAACACTGCATATTAAATTTAAGCAGGACATTATTAAATTACCTGTTATTAATTCTGCCATAATTATGTTCCCACCTCAATTAACATACCTAAAAAAAAAAAGGTGCAAAACCAAAGCACAAGATCTCAGAAACTGATCCCAGACACCTCTAAGATCTTTCTGAAGGGCCAAGTCTTCAAAGAGCACTTGAAAGACTGATGGATCAGGGCCAAAAGTCTTTCTGAGGAAGGGATCTGTTCAGCGTCACAAGAATATGCCAACAAGTTCTAGATATGGTTGTACTTTGGTCCAGGGATATAATACAGGTAGTCCTCGGCTCACGATCACAATTGGGACCAGAATTTCCATTGCTTAGCAACGTGGTTGTTAACTGAATTGCACCCAATTTTGCAACTTTTTTTTGCCATGCTTGAACCACTGCAGCTGTTAAGTAAAACATGGTTGTTAAACGAATCCATTAACTTTTGCTTATCAGAAGCCAGCCGGAAAGATTGCATATGGTGATTACATGATCCTGCAATCGTAAATACATGCTGGTTGCTAAGGGTCCAAATTTTGATCATGTGAGCATGGGTATGCTGCAATAGTCATACATGCAAAGACCAATTGTAAGTGATGCTGTAACTTCGAACAGTTGATAAACATATAAAAGGTGCAAATATGGTTCCAACACATGTTTTTTTTTATAAAAAGAGCTGAATAGAATACTAGATACTCTAGGGAATTGTGCTACAGTAAAGGGTGCACGACCTTGTGAATTAAACCCATTTCTGAGTTATTGTCTAATCCACTGAGCTGATGTCTCTACACTTATTAAAGCCCAAAGTACGGTAAATCACAGAAATAGCTTTAATTAGCAACCTAGCTGCCAAGCCTCTACTGACAGTTGTATTGTAAAAGCTCCAAGTACTAAAAGCCAGAAACCTGCATTAAAAGGCAGATCAAAAGACCAAGCAGAAGGATCTCAAGAGAGAAAAGAGAACAAGTGAGTGTACTAACATTGCCACAGGGCAAATCTTTTAGAACAAATTGCATGAATGCTACCACCAACTCCCACAGCCTAGAAAGTCAAGCCATCTGGGCTTAATCCACAGCTGCTATCACAGTGAAGACACATTGACATACTTAACTATTTGAAACTGGCATGTGCAAAATAGTTCCCTTTATGAAGTCAACAAAGCAAGAACAGGTGGGGAGGAATAAAATAGAAAGATAGGAGATGCCAGCCCTTATTCCTTATGATAACTGTTTTTTATTCTGGCCATATGTAGTCACCAGGTGCATGTCTATTGAGATTCTCAGCCATCCAGGTCATGGTTGTCCCAAAGGTGCTTTTTCAAGAGGCAACTGGACTTTCTGGTTTTTCTTTGAAGATTTTGCTTCTCATACAAGAAGCTTCTTCAGCTCTGACTGGATGGTGGGGAACGGTTGAAATATTGAAAAAGCACCTTTTTGACCACCAGGTGTATGGCTTCTTTTCAATGCCAAGAGGACGAAAGACCTAAAAATACAAGAGAAGAAAAATGAACTATCAGAAGAATACTGATTATTAAACTATAATTGAATCACTAGAGGGGTGACAAAATAAAAAATTGCCGAGAACCGTCTATCCCATGTTAATCCCTGAATGAAGTCCACCATGAATACCAATTCACACTGGATTTTAAAAGAAACCCAGTAATCATAACCATCAGGACTGAAGGGGGAGAGTCAACTCTTTAAAACTCAAATGTTTGTTATGCTAGTTTCCCATCTATAATATTCACTGTCTGTTATGTTCTGAATCTTACTTTCTTTCCCTACTTTTGAACTTTTCCACTGTATTTTTCTCTTTCAGCCATTTGAGATTGCTCTAATACATACTTCCAATTATCACTTAATTCTTTTTTTCCATATGCCCAAATATTTATAAGCAGAAGTAGGCGGCACATGAATTAACAACCGGTTCGCCCAGCACCGAAAATGTGAGAGCGCGGCACGCTCGCTTCGCTTGCGGCCTTCCACACATGCGCTTTGCTCATGCACACGGCTTGCAGGCATGCACACGGCTTTAAAACACAGCTAAATAGGATGGCATAGCGCCCACCTGTAGATCGCAACTACCGGTTCACACGAACCGGTCTGAACTGTCAGCAGCCCACAACTGTTTATAAGATTCTATCACTTTCAGTACAGCTACCACATCTGTTCTTCAGCCCTTCCGACCAACTTGTCAAACCAGCCTGTTCTCACAAGTGGAGACTGAAACAGGTAGAAGTTTTCTCTAAAGGAAGCGGATTTAAAATAATTATTTTTTTCTATTTAAAACTGGCTTTTTAAATTGAGTCAGGGGACCCAAGGGCAACCCATTGAGCTGGCGCAATACATGTGTCGCAACCCATGTTCCAAAAACTTTTTCAAAAGGCATTATATTGCCGCCCTAGATATATTGTGTGGATAGCAGAGTTACAGTGACAATGCTCCATATTGAGTACAGCTGGGAGGCCAAGGTGAGCTGCTTAAAAGCAATTGTGCTACAATCGTAATTAGAGCTTTCTCATTTAAAGAAGTGCTTGAAAGAATTCCCAAAAAAACAAAGCAGGTACATTATTTCCAAATCTGTCATTATCAATCTACTTTGGATGTCAATTCTTAATCGAGGAACACTCTAAAATATGACCAACACTTTGAAATCTCTTACTCCCATTTCCTGTTTCATGTTTTAGAATTTTTTTAATAAACATTTATTATCTGAAATGTACCAGGAATAAAACCTTAGAAAACAGCATATGAAACAGTCTATAGTCCCAATTGTTTTGAGGCATATCTGGACCACTATGAAAAATACATAACCCTATTTTTGGACCACCTGCAAAACATTCACAAGTAAATTTTACTTCTCTTCAAAAAATTGAGACTTCTTTTGATTAAATTTCAACGCGGCCATCACCAAACAGTCTGCAAACACGAGTTCAGAAGTTCCATACCTTCCCTGTAATTAGTAAATTAAAAAGGGAATTGAGTATCAATTGTCCAAATCTTTAAATTATTTTACTAGATGTTAGATGTAGATGTTGAGATGCACAAGATGCACAACTCGTTTGCCACTGTTTTCCTCTGGATTTTTTTTCCAATTTCCCAATCTATCTTATAGTCCAGTACCTGGAAACTCTAATAGTTTCCCATCTAAGTATACTAGACCTAATCATAGCTAGTTTCTGAGCCTAGACAAGATTGGCCAGGAACTGTCATGTGCTGTGATTTATGCTTTGTACGCACCCATTTTCTCTAGAATTTCCTATCACCCAACATTGCTACAGTCAATCAACTTTTTAAATGCATCCTTTTTCTCCTTCCTAAATTAATTCTTTCTTTTCTCTCCTCCCAAAATATAGCACTTTGTTTCCT